TCTGTCTGGCTTTAGCCACTAATTCAATGAAGACAGTCTTTGCTGTTGCTTTGTTTTCCTTAACAATTCGTGTGATTGCTAAAAAAACCAATTTAAATCTATTCAGAACGTTTCTCTATTAAATATTTATATCAAGATTTTTGTTAATCATTTTCTTCTTTTAGGATTAATGGCAGTCTGCAAATTACTAACTATTGCAGCATTACAAATAAATAGATGTTAATAGCTCTATCAATTCAATGCAAGTTTGATTGTCATCAACTGGGTCACTCCTAGGATAGTGTAACAATACAGCCTGATAATACTGCACCTCTTCACTCTGAAATAAGTTTAATGGGACTCACAGCCTAATTTCAACAGTACACACTTACCAAGAAAGGATAAGTGTATATGTGCGTACACATTAATTTTTGATGCAAACTTTATACAGCATTTCTGGCTTCCATGTTTCCAATAACATGAATGATGAGTAGCTTTAACCATTATCTTCAAATCAATTTTGACTCTTGGCACTCACCTGAACAAGTCCCTGTAGTTTTCTTGGCAAACTTTTTGAGAAGTGAATTGGCATTGCTTCCTTCCTAGGACTGAGAGAGAGCTTACCCAGAATCACCCTTCTAGCTTCATGCATAGAATAGAATAGAATAGAATAGAATAGAATAGAATAGAATAGAATAGAATAGAATAGAATAGAATAGAATAGAAAGGGACCTTGGAGGTCTTCTAGTCCAGCCCCCTGCTCAACCATCTCAGACAGGTAATAATAGTAATAGTAGTAAAGTTGGAAGGGACCTTGGAGGTCATCTAGTCCAACCCCCTGCTCGGGCAGGAAACCCTACACCATTTCGGACAAGTGGCTGTCCAGTCTCTTCTTAAAAACTTCCAGTGTTGGAGCATTTACTGCTTCTGGAGGCAAGCTGTTCCATTGATTAATTGTTCTCACTGTCAGGAAGTTTCTCCTTAGTTCTAGGTTGCTTCTCTCCTTGATGAGTCTCCACCCGTTGCTTCTTGTCCTGCCTTCAGGTGCTTTGGAAAATAGCTTAATTCCCTCTTCTTTATGGCAGCCCCTGAGATATTGGAATACTGCTATCATGTTCCCCCTTGTCCTTCGATTTCTGGGGGTAAGCTGTTCCACTGGCTGATTGTCTTCACTGCCAGGAAGTTTCTCCTTAATTCCAGGTTGCTTCTCTCCTTGATCAGTTTCCAGTCATTGTTTCTATACTATGTCCACTGTGTTTCGTTAGTCTGTTACTTTAGTCACTTTGTCAAAGAATGAGATGAGATTAGTTTGGCATGATCTGTTTTTAATAAATCCATGCTGGCTACTAGTTATGACTTTGTTTGCTCACCTGCTCACTGCAGAGTTTGTCTCCCAGTTGATATTTGGATAGTTGAAGTCTTCCCATTACTACTATGGTATACATTTGTTAACTGGTTGGTAAAGAGATCATCTATTTCTTCTGATTGGTTGGGTGGCTTGTAATATATACCTATGGTAATGTCACTTTTTTCTCTTTTACATTGACCCATATACATTCTGGAGAGATTTTGTCTAGGATCATGTGCATTTCTGCAGATATGTAATGTTCTCTTACTTATAGTGCAACTCCCCCTCCTCTTTTTGTAGACCTGTTTCTTTTGAACAATTTGTATCCATCCATCAGTCCATTCCATTCATGGGTTTCGTCCCACCAGGTTTCTGTTAATGCCAACTATGTCATACCCTCCCTCGTGTACTATTGCTTCTAGTTCGTCCTGTTTGTTCCCCAAACTTTGGACGTTTGTATATAAGCATTTAAGACTTTTATGCCTGTCCATGGGAGTGTTTCCGGTATCTCCAGATCGTTGTTTGAGTTTTTCTTTTTTTTTCATCACTGCCTATCTCATTGTTTGTTTTCTTGGGATTTGTGATTGGTTTTGGGTTCTAGAGATTGGTTACCCCCCCCCCCCAGTTTTAGTTTAAAGCCCTCCTGATGAGTTGGGCCAGTCTTTTTTCCAAGTATATTTTTGCCTGTTTTTGTGAGGTGTAGCCCATCCCTTGCCAAGAGTCCTTTGTGTAGGAAATGCAGTCCATGATCCAGGAAACCAAAGTTTTCTTGGCAACACCAGGGCAGGACTAGAATTCATAGCTCTTGGTTTTTAGCTTGATGCCACTATGCTATACCAAACTGGCTCTCACTGTATAGAGGTACAGTAGCCCTCTTTTAAAAGAGGAACATTCTAATTCTACTTTAAGAAACATGCTTATCCTGGAAGAGAACCTATAGCCTTCTTGCATTCAGGGAAATCCTCAAGATGATCTTGCTTTAATGGGCCACTGGCCTTAGAATAGCTTATAGGGTGTATTATTTGTTTTCTAATTATTTACTTATATTCTTATATTTAATATAAGAATTTTAGTTAATTACTTATTTTTAATTTTTTATATATTCCATTGTTGTTTTGCTCATGTACACTGCCCAGAATTAAAGAGGTTGGTTTATAAATGCTGTTAAACAAATGAATCAATCAGCCACTGAACTTGCCATAATAAATCATGGATGGGTAAGCACAACATGCTAGATTACAATGTGGTTGACTCAATGTTTTGGCAAACCTAGTCAGTTTTACTAATTTATAAGATAATAAATAGTTGCTTAGGCAAGTAAGTTAATTTGGTCATTTGTGAATAAGTTGATTATAGATTACAAATTCAGCTAGTTATGAGAAAAACTTTGTCACAAATTCATCCTTGGCAAGTGAACCTTAATTTTGTGCTTACATTTCTTAAGCTCAGTGCAAGCTTTCTTTATCTAGGTGAAAGGGATATGCTGAACATTTTGGATGACCCTCAAGTAATCTGGTTATCGTATTTGTGAAAAAGACAGGGCAAGATGCCCATGCTTGTCCAAACAAAGAAGCATTTCTAACCTTGTGAATTAAGCTAAAGGTTTTCAGAAGCTAAACACTGGCAGCAACATCCAAATGACTGACTCAGGATAACCAATGCATTTTAATGGAGACACTGTGTAGGCCAAATCCTTTGAAAATAGTTCAGAAAGAAACAGATCTACAGACAAACCACTTATTACGTGAGTCTGCATCACTAGTAATTCCAGCCGTGTAACTTCAGTCCATGGGTTGCCTTTAGTTGCAGCACAGCAGACAATATTGATGTACCTTTATTACCAGAACATTTTCCTCAAGTACCAATTTAACCTTGTATAGATAGTCCTCAACTTATGACCACAAATGAGCCCAACATTTCTGTTGTTAAGTGAGACATTTTGCCCCACTTTATGACATTTCTTGTCTTAGTTGTTAAGTGAATCACTGCAGTTGATAAGTTAGTAATCCTGTTGTTAAGTGAATCTGGCTTCCCCATTGATTTTGCTTGTCAGAAGGTTGCAAAAAGTGATCACATGACCCTGAGACACAACAACGGTCATAAATATGAACCAGTTGCCAAGCATCTGAATTTTGGTCAAATGATCATGGAGATGCTGGAAAGGTCGTAACTTTGAAAAACAGTCATAAGTCACTTTTTTCAGTGCCCTTGTAACTAAACAAACCATTGTAAGTCGAGGACTACCTGTAATTTGCAGAAGGAAATTTAGTTGAATCTATGGTAGCAATAATAACAACAAATTCTAATGGCTTTTGTAAAATGATGCGTGGACTCTACTTCATTAGCATATAAGCGATAACATTCTTCCTATTTGATACTACAGGTTGCCTGACCAGCCATGCATTTCTTTGTCTTTTCTCTTACGTTTATATATTTGACAGAGATTTCTACAGACGTCCTGTTCTGATGAGCCTGGAGGTTTCAGGGAATTCCAGGAAGAGGGAATTTTTATATTCAAATGAAAGGGCACAACATGGCATATCTGAGCTATGCACTTTGCCTTCCCTCCCCAGCGATAAAACTGTAATTAACATGGCAGGAGGACCAGCTAAGGAGCACATTGAGATACTCTAGCTCTGTATTATATCAGTTTTGGAATGAGTTAGTGGTGTGGAGATTCGTACATTGCACTTTTATTTTGGAACAGCGTAACTAAATTTCCAGTCTTTCTGAACAGAATACTCCTTCACAAAACAAATGAAGCAAAACCTGCCACTTATCTTTGCTTCACTAGTTAACTTATTGTTGTACAGTCAGTACAAAGTCGTAGGCTGCTTATACAGGTAGTCCTCAAGTTACGACCACAATTGAACTTAAAATTTGTTGTATTTGTTTATGAGTTGCCCCATTTTATGACTTCTCTTGCCACAGTTATTAAGTGAATCATTGCATTTGTTAAGTAAGTAACATGGTTGTTAAGTGCATCTGGCTTCCCCATTGACTTTGCTTTCAGGTCACAAAAGACGACCAGAGGACCCCAGGATATGTAACTGTCATAAATACAAACTAGTTGCCAACATTCTGAATTTTGATCATGTGACTATGGGGATACTGCAATGTCATAAGTGTGAAAAAATGGTTATAAGTCACTTTTTTCAGTGCTGTTTTAACTTTGAACGGTCACTATAAGAACTGTAAGTCGAGGACTACCTGTACTTTGTGCAGCCAAGTATTTGTAGGGCTTGGTAATGCACAAAGTGTATGCTCCATTGGAATCTCCAGCATTAAGCCAAGAAGTAGTTTGCACGTTTGTATGTGTGTATATGTGTATGTGTATATATGTGTGTGTGTGTGCGCGCGCGTATCCGCGTGCAAAGTGTTCGTGCATTTCTCATTGAACTTTCATATATATATATATATATATGAAAGTTCAATGAGAAATGCACGAACACTTTGCACGCGGAAATCCCACATTTGACCCAACAAGGTTAAGCTCACGGAGCCCTGATCACCAAGACGCCGCGCCGCGATAGCCGTGATTCTTCAGTCCTAATCAGGCGCCAGCCCGTCAAGGTCTAAAGCAGACTAGAGGAGAAAATAGGCCGATTCCCATTAGGTGATTGGTTGTTAAGGGGCGGGCTTGGGCTGGGCTTCTTCTCACATGACCCGGCCGCTGGAGCATATTTTTCCGCCCGCTCAGCACTGGCCTCCAGAGCAGTTCCTTGTTCTTCGGGTCTGTGCCACAGCGGATGAAAGGAGGAGAAATGTTGGCTGTTACCCTGCTTTTGCTTCTGGCCGTCGGCTCCGGGGTGTTGGCCGAACCCGTTAAGTTCTTTGACTGTGGTGAGTAATTCTTTTGCATTGTAACTGTTTCGGACCCTTTAACTTTCAGCACCACCCGAGAGTTGCCAACTCTTCCTCCTGCTCTTAGGGATCACCTGGCGTTGTGATGCTGGCAGTGGTTCCCCCGGATAGAGAACTCTGGTGGATGATCTCTGTAGGCAGCTATGAAAGCGTGAGCGAGAAGCCTTGTGCCTAAGAGCAAAGCAAGCGCCCACCGTCACATTTTTCAGGTTTTGGCAGCCCCAGAAAGCAATAAAGAGACCAGCTCCCGAAGCGACTCTGCTCGAAGGAAGCTGGGAATCTGTGATCAAACGGTTGTTTGGGGTTCATTCTGTTGTAACAGGCGAGTTCACGAGGCAGTCCGGCTTCTTTCCATCTTTCCCCTAAAACCACTTTCACAAGTCAGTTTGCTCCAACTTAGAGCTACCCGTTGGAGGCTTCTTGTAGTCAGGAAGTGCCAGTTATTGTACCCAACAGTTAGGTTTCAACTTTGGTGTTTGCAAACTGCGTTAGATGGTCTCTCAGTTTTGTTTGCTACGTCATAAATATAGGTAAATGTCATGGTTGAGGAGTATGGAAGCAGAGAGGATAGACTTGTGACAAGGATGCCATGGGTTGGTCATCTTCTTAGATTCACACTGGATATGAAAGCATACTGGCCCTAAACTCTTATTATGGTTATTCTAGCTTTTGTTAATCCAGCTTTTTGGCATTGCATGATCCATTAAATCATATGGACTGCCTTGGCACATATGACTAGAGCCTGGCTTTTTGCTGTGTGGGTCATGAACACAGTGATGATTTAGCAGAATGTTTCTCAACCTTGACAATTTTAAGGCATGTGGACTTCAACTCCCAGAATTCCACAGCCAGCATTGCTGGCTGTGGAATTCTGGGAGTTGAAGTCCACATGCCTTAAAATTGTCAAGGTTGAGAAACACTGATTTTAGCACATGGTAATTTAATGCTATGTGTGAGCCAGATCATTCTCTTCTCAGAACAGCCTCTGATGCAGCAAGGGGGGCACTGGTACATTTAGATATGGCAAGTTGCAGTCACTGATTTTTAATTCTTATAAAATGAAATGATGAAATGTGTACAGTGCAATATGAATGAATGGTAACTTTTCTTCCCCCTTTTTTCCCTTAAGCCTGCTTCTCCCAAGTTTTAGGTTTTCTCTTCCAGGAATTACCAACTTGGAGCGAAAGTAGGAAAAATCCAGTTCGATAGAATCCATCTAATGCAGGAAAAATCATTCATAGTATTTTTATTTATAAATCACTAATGAAGAGCTAGAAACTATTATTTTATATATCCTAAAAATATGGAGTTTTTAAACTTTATTCACCTGTTGCTCAGGCTTAATGATAATGGTAGCTCAAACATGTTTGACTTTGACATGACTTGAAATTTTCTAGCCAACATGAATGTATCTGAAGTTATACTAGAATGTAACTCAAATGTATCAGAAAAAAATTGCTCTTTGATTGTAACCCTTTGAAACAGGATTATAAATAGCTAGTTTCTATGCCTTGAACTTTTTTTTTCCAGCTCATATTATAGGAGCTGCAGCTGAAATTGTGAGCCCTCGCTGGATAGAGCCAAGGAACTAGCCCACAGTATGAGATTTTGTTGACTAGTGATGTTTTGACAGACATTTATAGGAAGAAAAAAGAGATATTTCATATAGAACAGCACATTTCTGATCTAACCTATTTTTCTATTTATTTTTTTTTTGTAAATTCTAGCCTTTGGAAGAATGAATAATTGCTGTTTCTTAATTATAATTCCAAAACACCCAGGTCTGATTTCTGCCACAGCCATATTATATGCAATGTCTTGCATAGAGATAATATATACATGTAGGAAAATCTGATGTGCAAAGCAGATTTGTATTTTGGGTAGGATTGCTAATACAGTTGAGGCTTTTCTTTGAGACTGGAAGTATAGTTATTTCAATGTAATTGGCCATTTGCCATCTCATTTTGTCTTCTTTGTCTACTTTTGAGAGACTGATCTTCCAGGTCACTCAGATTCAAAATACAGCTCTCAGCCTGATAAATCTGCATCAAGCTGTGAATGAATTTTGAATGGGTTAGTGGGAGTTTTTTCTTCTGATTTTTTTCCCATTAAGTCCCCTCAGGGGTGTCAAACTGCCAGCCCGCAGGCTGGATGTGTCACGCCAAAATTGCTCCCACACCATGGCCGGCAATGGGAAAAAAGCCATGATACGTCGCAACACATCACGTGACACTACAGGTTTGACACCGTACTCTAAACTGTTCCTGAACACTGAGGGGATTCTCAAAACCTGAAGGGGATTGGTGTGGAGGGCAGAAGGACAGGAAGGAACTGATGAAATCCTTCCTGCTAAAAGCTTTCTTAAAAACAAAGCTATTTCATCCAGAGTTGGCTGCAATTATAAGATTTTATTTCTTTGCATCCTGCCTTTATTTTTACAAATAACTCAAGGTGACAAACATCCATCCCACTTTTGACCTCCTAGTTTTCCTCATCTGTATTGAGGTGAGTTGAGCTGAGAGAGAGCAATTAGCCCAAAGTCACCCAGCTGGCTTTCATGGTTAGGACAGAATATGAACTCACAACCTCCTGTTTTCTAGTCTGATGCCTTAACCACTAGACCAAACTGGGTCTCAGTTTATTCAAGTACATTTAGTACTTTAATTCTGAATAGATTTATGTACAATTTCATTAGAGGATTGTCTTATAAACACTAATAGGATGTAAACAAAAGATAATGTTCTGAACTGGGGGAGCCTCATATCATGGATTATTGGAATGGGCTGTCCTTGAAGACTACTCAGAAAGCACAAGTAGTACAGAATGCAGTGAATGGGAAACATTGCCATATCTTGTTTTGTCTGTGTGACCCCACTGCTTTGTGAGCTGCACTACTTACCTGTTGTGTTGTAGGTGCAATTCAAAGTTCTGGTTACTACCTATAATGCCCTTAATAGTACAGTGCCAGATTGTTTAATGGACTGCCTATCTGCAGTTGTTTCTTCCATCCTAGTGTGATCAGGCAAAGTGGGCATACCTCTGGGCCCCATTACTACATCATCTTGTGAGGTCTAGAAGTAAGTCTTCTTTTTCATGGTTCTCTGAAATAATATTCCCCCAGAGGTCCATATTATTTTTTGTATAAAAATAAACTTCAGGATTACATCTGATCTCACTAAAAAAAAAAAAATCTACTCTTTCATCTGACAGTTCAAATGGTTTATATGAGATTACCTCTAGAAACCACAAGAATCTTCTGAAGTGGCTTGGCTGAGCATGACTGGCTCAAACTCCCCAAGTGAGCTCCACGACTTCACAACACTCTCAAGAGTATATTATGTTCATCATGACCTCACTGAGCTCACTTATGAGTAGCTCTTCAAAGTCCTAGATACGACATTTTCTGAACAGGAATTCTGTTATTCTGTCACCGAATAGGAATATCCCAAAATAATCTGACAATTCAGATACAAACCCAGCAATTTCCTGTTTCAGTTGTATGAATAGCTGAGGCAGATAACAAAAACAGGCACTGATACATTAGTGATGCATCAGTCACATGAGGGTAAAAATCATATTCTGCAGGATACAAACAGCTGATTCACACATTCCTTCCATTTGCTATGGGTATGCTAGTATATTTAGGACACAGTAAAGTGATGAGGATTCATTTGCTAACAGTCACAGTGAGTTAATCTTGATTCTCTTCCTTCCTTTATTGTTTGTGCTAAAAAGCACCATGATAGTATTGAACAAATTATGCATACAAAAAGCATTTTGTACCATTATAACCTAAAAAAGAAAACCTGAGCTGAGGCTGTGTAGATGAGGGATATATAGATAAAGCAGTAGGCATGGTTTCCAGTGGTTAGATCATTGGGATCAAGCACTTTACCCTAAAAATGCCCTCTTTTTTCTTATAGCTGTCATTAACTTTACAGGAGAAATGTGAACTCTGCACTTATGAATATTTGTTAGGGGTATCCTTAACATACAGTGGCCAAACTATTTTGACCGTAACAGTTCCTTGTAGTGGAAGAAGCTATTTGCCAACACACCATTATTGATTTGGAGAGGGGGGCTAGCAATTGGGAATAAATTAATGCCAAAGAACAATAGGCCATCTGGAGATTTGTGATTATATCTTTTTTCCAAGATTTGGTGATTAGTACTTATCTTAAATAATGCTTGATAGTTACCATTGCCAATCTAGACAAATGGATACATAGATGGACTATGGTAAGCCACCAGCATGTCTTGAAATGCCGAATGGCCCCAAGATTGAATGTTTTTTTTTTAAAGGAGCAAACTTAGTAACTTAAGATCCATGGATACTTAATGTCCACATTTCATCTCTTAAAACTCCTAAATGCCCTCCCATTAGGTCTTGCTTGTTTTGAAGTGCAATTTTGGCATATTTCAACATGCTTGTATTACTTAGTTTGAGCCTTTTAAATAGATATGTGATGAAAACAGGAAAACACTGTTTGCATGAATCAAGATAATATTTAAGAAACTGTCCAAGAAACCTGAAGATTAATATCCTGATTTCATATCATTAATTTGTAAATACTCTATGTAAAATCATATTTGTATAAAATCAGCATAGATAGACCTTGACTTACAACATTCATTTAATGACCATTCAAAGTTACAACAGCACTGAAAATGCTTTACAACCAGTCTACCCATTTATGCCCATCACAGCATTCCCCCCATATCCATGTGATCAAAATGTATAGCTGCATATAAATATATAATATTTATTCTTGTATGTACAGTATGGAATGACAAAGATATATGTCAAGGATGATACACTACGTTCAATGTTTTTAATTTTGTATTCAGTAAAATGTATAAATTAAAATAAAAATAAAAATTGGGTACTCGGCAACTGGCAGGTATTTATGATGGTTGCAGCAGCATCCTGGGGTCACATGATCACCATTTGCAACCTTCTCAGCCGGCTTTTAGCAAGGAAAGTCAAAAGGATGAAGCTGGATAAGCGTAGCAAAAAAGGTCGCAAAATTGGGTGAGCACACTTAACAACCACCTTGCTTAGCAATAGAAATTCTGGTCCCAGTTGTGATTGTAAGTTGAAGACTATGCTGTATTTATTTTTTTTGATTTTACTCATGGATATGTTTGTGCGAGTTTTAAATTGCTATACTTACTTGTGTTATTCTGTGACAAGAAGACAGTTACTACAATAGTATAATTTTAACAATGAACTTTATTTAAAAACATTTTTTAAAAAATAATCTGATTTGGGTGTCAATGCCCTTGCAAGGTGTGTGGATTGTTGGTGCTTTTTATTTGGAGTAATAATATGACATGAACATGGGTGAACATGCATTCTCATTAACCTTTACCTCTGGCTGGTCATGATTCATTCTCAAATAACTAGACGGATTTCCTAAAATTACTGGGTACAATTCTGAATCATTTTTATCGATTGCCTTCTGATTCTTGTTGTTTCTGCCCTGCTTACGATTCTTCCTACCTTTTTAAATGATAAGCATGTCAATCATAGACAGATGGCACTATACATGAATATGTAAATATTTGCAAGGCCATGTCTGTTATTGTGGAATTTGACCAATTATACTAATCTAAGTGTTGCTTCAAAATTATGTGGTTCCATTCTTTCTGCACAGGTTCCAAAGATGGAAGTATTTTGGAGGTTAATATTACTCCCTGTCCTGGACTACCTTGCCTTCTCCGCAAAGGAGTGTCTTACAGCGTCAATGTTACATTTTCCAGTAGTAAGTATAACCTATTCATTTTGAAGTACAAGATTAATTTCCCAAACAAAGCTTTTTCAGAACGTTTTCAGCATTCAAAGTGGGGTTATTTTCATTATCCCAAATGTCCTACATATAAGTGCACTCATTTAGAATAGTTATATAAGAGCAATTTTATATGAAATAATTTCATTGAGAATCATTATTAGCAATCAGCTATGTGTAGTTTTAATGGAGTTCATAGACAAAAATCCATGACAACCATATATAGAACATGATTGTTAATGTTTCTTTTGATGTTGCAAACGGCTGTGATTTTTCTAGTATGTGCACAATACAAAATGATAGCAACTACAGTTTTATATGCAGTGGATTTTATTTATGGAAGTGTTTTCTCTGTAGGAACCTCAGAAAAGGGAAGTAAAGCAGAAAATCCGTCATCGGTGAAACTTTCTAGTATTTTAAATTATAAAGCAGTTGGATTAATGGACAGGAAAGGACACAATCTCGACATGGAATATTGAGAACACTTCCTCATTGTGAAATGTAGTATTGTAGTCTCCATTCCTTGTCCTATTGTTATGATTAACCTCATTTTTCTTGCACAGAAATTGAAAGCCAAAGCAGCAAAGCAAAGGTGTATGGGGAAATAATGCATGTGGATATTCCTTTCCCACTTGAAGAGCCTGATGGATGCAAGAGTGGGATCAAGTGCCCTATCCATAATGGTCATACTTACAGCTACTTGAACAAGCTGCCAGTAAAGAGCGAGTACCCATCTGTGAGTATCTTAGCAGACTGATTTCTGTACTTGGAGCTACTTTTCATGATTCTTCATCTCATTTATGAAATAGGATGCTCATAATTGACCACTTGGTCCTATTTTGGATGGTTTTGCAGTGGTTTTTTGCAATGGGAATATTTAATTCTACAGAGAGAGGGTTCCATTCTCCAGGGAAAGACCATTAGTTCACTTATTTGTCTAGCTTTGTGAAAGTACAATTTCTAAATTATATAGATTGTGGAAGATGATTTCATACAGTGCTTCTTTCCATGAAACCTTCCCACATTTAGAATATCAGCATACTGGGAGGAAACTTCACTGGGAACAAGGAATGGTTTCTATAACATGTTCAGCTATATCTACCTTCGGCAGTCTGAAATGATACAGTCTCTGTAGTCATTTAGCTTATTATATTATGTATGTGCAATTGTGACTTCAGACCTCACAAAATAACAATCTCAATTTTATCCCTCATAGCAAGGGATGCAAAATGTAACAGTTCTAACAAATATTCAAGGACATATATTTATTCAGAGAAAGAAATTTGCCATGTTGGTGAGGGAGTTATGAGTATGATCCCCACATTCAAACATATGAGATATGAAATCCATTTCAAGTTCAGGTTAATTTGGCATATGGCATATGGCATTTTGTAAATTTTTCTTCCAATAACCCCAAATCTTAATATCTGAGGATCAATTGTTTTCATTACTTTCCCTTTTTTTCTAGATTAAACTTCTTGTCAAGTGGGAGTTATCTGATGACGAACAAGGATTATTATTCTGCTGGATGGTTCCGGTTCAAATTACCAGTTAAAAAAGCCATTTAGTCCTCAAGAGTTACAGAGGATGGAAGGCAGAGTTTGATAAAGACAAGTAAAATATTTTGCTACACCAGGCAGTTCCTGTTTATCCTATGGTATCTGTGCAATAATTGTTCTCAGAGACATAGTCTAGATGAAGAACAAAATGGATAGCTAGAATAAAGAGTGGGTTGGTGGATATCTTGCTGTAACTCAGGGCAATGTTTTTATAATTGAAAGAAAATCTGTTTGGAAGATTTATATTGCTTGATAGAGAATATCTACCACAAAAATTATTTCCTCTAAAAAAAAAAAAAAAAACTGGCCCAGCAAAATTGATCACTGCGTTTCTATCTTTTCAGTGCCTCTTGTGGTCAGATGCTGGCTGCAAATTTCCATCTGCTTTCCCCCTTCCTCTTTATATTATGACCTAAATTATTTTTTAGAACTGAAGTTGCCATCTGGAGCCAAAACGAGACAGGATAGTCACTTTTTGTAACTAATTCTGTAGATATTATACTCTCAAATGCCAAACCAAATGGCACTTGATCTCTATGCAGAAATAATTTATGTTAATCACTTTGCACTATCTTGTAAGTCATTTAAAGTTGCTATGGGGTGAATTCCTAAATACAGTCAGCTTTTGTAACTGTTTCTAATAAACAAGCATAATTAAACTTTCTTTTTTTGGCGATAATGAAATATTTGCTTATGGTAAAAAAATTCCTTCGAGTTAATTTTGACATCCAGTAATTACACAAATATATCCGTGTGGTTCTTTTGGCAACAATATATACATTGTTTGTATTGCTTCCTCCTGAGACATTCTTTCAATTTTTCAGTCAAGCCTACAGCCCTGGAAAATTAGATTGATCTTCCATCCAAGACTAGCCCTGCTTAGTTTTTTGGTACCAGCCACAGTTAGCTAAGTATAGTCTCCTAATACTCTAAAGAGTATCTTACATATGTGAATAATGGTGTGGCGGTGGATACTGCTGGGACTGAAAGATATACTGTCATATATAGAATGCTTTCATTTGCTCAATCTGTAAAAGTATTTTTTTCCAAACTAGCCATCCCTCTTGTACTGGTTAAATCAACAAGAACCTATCTGGTTCTTCCCAAGAGTTTCCAGTTCTAAGCTCGGAAAGAAAAGGTAGAAACATATACAGTATGACCAACCACAGTCTATAAACCATTAGGCACAATTAAAAACACATATTTATTTAACATGTATTTTTTTTCCAATTGAAAGCTCTGCATTACTTTTTAAAACTAAAGAGCTATAACATTTCCCACTTCCCAAAGTAACATTCCAGCAATCACAGAAGGTGCAGTTGGATGTCTGTGGCTTGTGGTGAACAGAAAGCCCCCAAAGGCCAATGAAGTCCAAGCCACAATCAGACTATAAATAGGTGCTCTAACTCTGGAGGGCAAAATGTGTGCTGGGCTTGGATGTAGGTACTGTGTCTTTTGATTTGTTAATAAGGATAACTTTAAGGGAAGGTTATATAGATTCTTGGCTGGATTCAATTGGAAGCCAAATGTCTATTATCTGTGGGATGTGAATTTTCTTCAGCCATGCTAAAAAGAGGACATAATGCATTAGTAGCTGTGAGGCGAACACAAAGCTCAGACTAGTTCTGAAAAGACTAGAGTAAGGATTATAAGTAAATTTAGGAAGCAGCATTCTATGAATGGTAAAGAAATGTAAGATGACACGGGATAAGTGAGAAATTGGTACAATAAAGGGGTAAAGCCTTGTGAGAATAATTCAGGGGGCACAAATTTGTTCACCTATGATCTAAACAGAGAAACAAAAGATGAACAGGAAGGAGGGAGTGTACTGCTGGTTTATCCATCGCAAATTAGTAACAAGGCCAAAAATCTCTGATAAAAATGGCATGATAGTTTTTCAAATGCACATACAGTATATGAAGATTGGGCCCTGAGTGTTTACACTGGCTGAAATAATGGTAATTGAACAGATCCCTATGTTGAGTCTTTGCTTTCTGGGAAATAAAATGTTTTAAAGCTGCTGAATTCTCTGAAACGCTTTTCCAGCTGCACAGATTGCCAATTCTTGAAGCAAATGGCTGAAAATGTTGCCTCCACTTCAACTCTTCTTTTACGCTGCCTCTGGATTTTGTGCAGTCTCTGGAATGCAGTGAGACTCCACTAAAGCACTGTCAGGTGAGCAAGTGCAGCGATAGGAGCCCTCTGTGTTTTCACAGGCATTACCTTTACAAAGAATCATGGAAGCATTTGCTACTTCACATTCATTGATATCTAATGAGGAAAGGGGGAAAAAAGAACACTTTTCAGATCCAACAGCACAGGACCTTTCTCACATTCCTTTTAGTTTATAAGCTCATACCTAAATTGAAAAAGTGCTGGGTGAATATAAAAGCAACTACACTAAGCTCTGGTGCCATTCACCATCCTCTACACATGCCACTTTCTACTGGGATATAGATTCCTGGTAGGAAAGGCTGTGTTGTGCTTCCAGGGCAGGACTTGGATACAATAATCCAGGTTCCTATTTAGCAGAAAGAACCTATACAGTCAACAAAATAATATACATTCTAAAAGTAAATAAAGTAATACTCTTTCATCTTAAAGAGGATGGACTATAGGTCATTATGATTAGGATCTAAAAATATATAAGGTTGCTGCCTGTAAACACCAAGAAAGATTTTAAACAACAGTAGGCTTGTGAAATACACCAAGGCTGTTCTTTGTATCTCGTTTAAACTGAAGGTGAGTCAAAAGCTATCTGAAGTGAGTAGAATTCAAATAATCATTGTACAATATGGAGGTACGTGCTTTCTGGATTAACCTTGTATTGCATAAAAACTTCGCTATAGGGATGGAGTGAATAAAGCTCTTCTAAACTTTGAGTTATGTCTTCAGTAATTTGGTAAGAGCATGAACTCTCCAGCAAAACACCCTTGAAGTGTGATGGAACTGATAAATTCACCTGGATTTTACAGAAACCAATCATTTTGTGATGAGCTGACCAACCATTTAGAGAAGCATTTTTATCTGGTCTCAACTGGCTAGAAAAGAGGTAATAGCAATTATAAATGCTCAATAAATAACATCCTGTACTACATAAACAGCCCTAATACGATTAGTTCTAGAGCTCTATGAAAATATGTCCTTAGGACTGATGGGTTGACATGTTCAGGCAGTGGTGTTTATAGATAGTTTGTATAAAAGCTATTGATAGGCTATGCTTTAGGAAATTTTCAGTACTAAAGCACTGAAATCTTCCATGAGTCAGTTCTGTCTGCAAATGCACACAGCTCTTTCATTTCTGATTCATGATCACTAATGCCCAATTGTAATTCTGGTTTGACCTCCCCTCTGTGGTCTGACTTATATACACCCTGATAATGTGGTTTGCTTCTCTTTAGCATAGTAACTGGCAAGCAACCCGTTAAACACTTCTTCAACAATTAAAATTAAGGTTAACAACATTTTAAAAGGATGCACAGCCCTCGTTAATAAGGGTTTGGGGGATCTTTGCTGTAGTGTTTTTGACAAGATCTACCACATTTTCTTTCATGGAACTACTTACCGACACAGGCCATGAGTTTCAAATCAAACTGGAAGCCATCAAAGCAATCACAAGTGTAGCCTTCTTGCACACGCACACAGCGTCCATTTTCGCAATCATTAAGAATTCCACACTCTTTTACTTGTAGCCCTTCAAAGCTGTTGTACTGCTCTGAAAGGTGAGAGAGTAAGAAATAGGTATTAAAAATAAGAATAGGGTAATCTTGTAAAGGAAACATGCCAAAATGGTTCTTTCAAATGTATGAGTATGTGTATATGCATATGCATATGCATTAAGGGCAAGCGTGGACTTTTGCCTTGAATCTGTGAACAACCTTACCAAAAGAGACATTTTCTTTCCATTGGCCCTCCTTTTTCAGATGGCACCTACTCTTTCATTAATCCAGTTAAGAATGCTTGCATATGAAAAGGATTACAAGAAGAAATCAGAGAGGCTTCCAACTATATGATCCAGCAAGTGATTATAAATAATCTCTTCAGTTGAATTAGCATAACTGGCTTTGTGGAATTAGCCATTAAAGAACTTCTCTTTGGATGTCGGAAGACTCTAGCTTGTGCACTTGGCTGAAACCAAGATTTTGTGTTGCATTTTTGGCCAATCTCTGGACCTGTTCTTCAAAAAGCAGGAAATGGGATTGAGGGTCAAAATGCCTACATTTGGTGTGTAATATACTAATAGTATGTACCTAAGCATATCTGAGCTATTATTTATTTTCTCCTGACATTTACCAACATGGTCAGGCACATAGTCAGGCTGTGTCTGATCTGGGAGGATCTGTTGTCTTTGTGGTGTTGCACTATCCTCAAATGCATTGCTTTCTTCTCTGTTGGTATCAGCTGCTCCATCCTCATCCAAGCGACTCAAATAGGGCTCCAGATCTGGGATGTAAAGCTCATATTGATGACTGCCCTGATTTGACCCATACTCGTAGCTGGGCCTTTCTTGGAGTTCAGCCTCCCTTACTATACTGCACAGCTGATAAAAATCATCTAAAAGGAGAGAGCAAAGAAAAAATTAATAAAGGAATACTTTTCATGCAATACTGCCTGAATATTGCAATTGTTATAAATTATGTATCTTTAGAGATGTAGCAGAGTCAACTAGGGCTGAGAGTGAGGATTAGCCTATAATAGCATCCTGGCAATGCAATGCTTTTTCCCAAGGAGCAATCTGATTATATACATGATTATTATATAAATACATTTATAAAATGTATAACATGTATATTAAATGTGTATATAATATCTAATTCTATACCTTTTATCTATCATCTATCCATCTAATCCAACTAAGTATTGTTTTTCAAAGAATCATAGGTTTGGAAGGGCCCTTGAAGGTGTCCTCATATCATTTCAGACAAATAGTTGTCCAATCTTTTCTTGAAAACCTCCTGTGATTAAGCATCCACAACTTTGGGAAGAAAGCTGCTTAATAGTTATCCTCATTTCCAGGCTGGATCTTCCTCTAACAAACTTCAACTCATTGCTTCTACTCTCAGGTGCTATGGAGAATGAATAGGCACTCTCTTCCCATCCTCTTTTCTGCAGCCCTTCAAGTGTTGGAAGACTGCTATCTTGTCTCCTTTCAACCTTCTCTTCATCAAGTAAATAAAAGGTAATGTTTGTAGTTCAGGGCAAGCCTCTAGAACAGTGTTTCCCAAACTTGACAATTTTAAGGCATGAGGACTTCAACTCCCAGAATTCTTAAATGCCTTAAAATTGTCAAGTTTGGGAAACACTGCTCTAGAATATAAA